AGAAGAACCCGTCCAGAGGACCTATACAATTTTTTTTCCTTTTTATAGTCTACTTAAAAATATTTTAAATAAAAATATCATAAGCTATAGTTTTTCTTTTTTGATGTATCAAACCGTGACCCTCGTACTACATTTTAAACTGTGACTCAGACATACTATTGTACCTTTATAATATGCAATCAATATGAGCTTTGAACAATCTGTGGAAGATTGTAGCATCCACATTATGGAGAAGTCAAGAATTCTGCTTTGGTCCTGGATGCTCTCAGACTAGCTGTTAGCTTAGCTAACCTATCAGAACTTCTGTCTAATGTGTACAAACTTATGATGGTTTGAGCAAATTTATTACGGATAAGAAATCCTCAGAACACCACTTCAAACAAGCTGAACTCTGCAGTCCAGCTGGACAAATTAACGTCCCTCTGTGGATTTAGAAAAGCTGAGGAGACCAGTAAGACCAGAGAGTATTTGCTTTGTGAAAGCAGGATATGGTGCACAATCTCCCTATTCGCAAATAGTGGCATATAAGATCAATGGGAGTTAGCTTTTTGTTATTCTGAAGCATTGGTAATGTGAATTACAGGAAGATCCTACAACTTGCAGAGAGAATGACTTAGGCTGTTTTTCTATGGCCCAGTCTCACCACGTCTCACTTTGACTCTACTCAGGTGTACAGTCTTGGTGGTTTTCTACATACACTACATTGCCAAAGGTATTGTCTCACCTGCCTTGACTCACATATGAGCTTAAGTGACCTCCCATTCCTGATCCATAGTGTTCATTATGACGTTGGTCCACCCTTTGCAGCTAGAACAGTTTCAACTCTTCTGGGAAGTCTGTCCACAAGCTTTAGGAGTGTTTATGGGGATTTTTGACCATTCTTCCAGAAGCACATTTGTGAGGTCACATACTGACGTTGGACAGAAGGTCTGGCTCTCCACTCTAATTCATCCCAAAGTTGTTCTATCGGGTTGAGGTCAGGACTCTGTGCAGGCCAGTCAAGTTCATCCACACCAGACTCTGCCATCCATGTCTTTATGGACCTTGCTTTGTGCACTGGTGTACAGTCATTTGGATGGGTGAGCAAATACTTTTGGCAGTATAGTGTATAAGTCCAAAACAGCTTAAAAACTGGATTTCTGTTCTGCAGTTGAAGATATTTCATTTTGCATCTGGGAAGCCTTTTCAATTTTTAGCTGAAGTGTGGTGGTCTCAGCTTTTAAACGCAATGTGAAACTCAATCATGTAACCTAAATTCACACACAGATTAAGTTACATGCCTCTCACAGGTAATTTGAAGGAAATTGCCTGAGTATCAGATTCAGTGCTCCAATGTAAGTTTTGGAGAGCTGAAATCTGACACCTGATCCTCTGTTTAAAGTTGTTTGTTCTTGTTTGACATACATGGCTTTCTTTACTCCACCCCCTCTCAAATTATCTGTCTTCTGTGCAAAATATAACCCCAATTCCAATGAAGACGGGACGTTGTGTAAACATACATAAAAACATAACATGATGATTTGCAAATCCTTTTCAACCTATATTTGAAAACACCACAAAGACAGCATATTTATGTTTAAACAGATAAACTTTATTGTTTTTTGCAAATGACTCATTTTGAATTTGATGCCTGCAACATGTTCCAAAGAAGCTGAGACACAGGGGCAACAAAAGACAGAATACTCAAAAAACACCTGTTTGGAACATTCCACAGGTTAATTGGAAACATGGAATCTCAAATTAAGTGAAAAAAATCTGTCAATGGAGTAAAACAATTGTATGGAGCCGGCGAGGGGACATGGGAGATTTTT